ATAATATAAAAAATTTCATAGAAATAAATAAATTAGCAATATCATGAATTGTATAAATATATTATTCATATTTGGTGCCAAAGATTATCAACTCTTTCAATTTCATATATACACCATACCCAGCAATGAATTGATTAATCAATCCATGAATTATCAAATGCTTCAATTTAGTTTTCTTCCATCGAAATCCGAGAAGGAGAGAAAAATAATAGTCTTGTTTTCGTTCTCACCGAAAAAAAGCACATCAACTTACCTCCTCCTCCTCGTCATTCGATACAACTCTGCGGGACCAGAACCAAAAAAAAAAAAAAAAAAATCTCTAGAAGGGCAAGACGATGCGGATCGAGGGCACGAAAGCAAGTACAGCCGAGTAGAGCACAACGAAGAGGGAGAGCCGTGAGAGAAGGGAGGACCAGATCGGAGATCTGATTATAGGCACGCAAGCCCTCCGATTCTCGCTGAGCGTGTTTTCAAGATCCCCGCACGTGTACTCCCTGCTGATGATTATTTTCTCCAAGGACGCGACGATTCGAAATTGCGGCCCTTTAAACCAGTACTTGGTCTAGTCCTCACTTTTCTTTTTCCCCTCCTCCTGTTTACGCGTTTCTCAAACTCGGGGATGAATAAATCAGGGTTGGTGGTGTAATTATATAGATACCGTTCAGTTTCCGAAACAAATGATCTATAATATGCTCCTTCGACGCCACGCGCGTTACACCCTAATGAAAAGTCCCCGAAATCACAGAGTGTCCTTTTCAGGAAAAACCGTAACATCCTCGGGCCCAACAATGACGTGTACACAGGCAGCTTCTCTCCGGAAAATCGATAGATAGATATCCCCAGAACTCGAAACAAGTGCCTCGACCCTCTTTCTTTCGTAATATACACACACCTCTCCCCTTGTCGCGCTATTCTCTCCCCCCCCCTTTTGCCTTGTGTGCTCACTGTGCACGTATATATGCACGTGTTTCCCCTGCATCGGCAGGTACATGCACACATACGCCACTCCACCCTTCTGCCCCTTACCCTTTCATTTTTAAATAGCTCGAGTTTATGTACAGCCATCCCACCGAGGCAGCAGAGCGGGGCATGGAGAACGAAAAATGGATGTGTTTTTTTTTTTTTTTTTTTTTTTTCATCCAACGACTACGGGGTCGGCTTGCCCGACTGCAGTTCTCTTTGTTTCTCGGGTCTAGTATATAATACACATTATACTCAATGGAAGAAACGAGCTCGGATTACCGGGTCTGCCTTTCGGAGAAAACTTTTTCACGTGGATACTTTTTTTTGTCATTCACACAAAAATTTGTGATTACGTAACCCGTACCGTACGATGAACACACGTATGCCAAGGGTGTATCCCAATCCAATTTCTCGAAAGGGAAAAACGAATTTCTTGAATAAAAACAGCACATGTCTGTGCGTACATGTAGCCGAAAAAAGGCTGACGGCTGAAAATCACGCGTCAGCCCTTTGGATTAAAAATCAAATGAAATAACTCATGCCAGTGAATGGTAAAAAAAAAAAAAAAGTGTTCTCACGCCTGTTACTACCCCTGACAGGGTACACGTGCGTTCGATCATTGACGTTTGATGCCTGCACGCAGGTGAGAGACGGAGGAGAAAGAAAAGCGCTCTGATCCCTCAACCTCCCCTTCGACCCTTCGACGTGTTCCAATACTCCTTTCTCTACATTTTCTGTACAGCTTCGTGATGGGTGAATCTGCAAACTACTATTATATCTATGTTCCTTCCATAAAAACCACGACTAGGTATGCGGTTCTCATTTCGAACGTTACAGGAAATCCTATTGTTTTTTTTTTTTTTTTTACTCGCAATCGAGGTTGATCAGTTTGAACATGTGTTATCCTAATGAACAACTGGACAAAAGACCCTCTCGTCCGTCAGCCATTCGCGTCCACGTGGCCGACAAGCCCTTCGAAGCAGAGGTACCATCATCACCAATAAAACTATAGCCTACGGGTGCGGGTTGCCTCGTGACGAAGTTGTTCCTAAATGGCCTGTGAACATCAGCTTCATGGGAACAGTCGTCGCGCGTATACATGTGGGCTCATTATGAGGCTTTTCGTTACAACAACAGCCACACCGTCAAATCCGATGAGCCACCCCCTCCGCCCATATATGACGATGTCTCGACTCCACGTGCGCGATACATTTGCTCGTTCTAGTTCTCGGTGGTACGAAGAAAGGCAGTATAACGTACATATATTGTACTGCGGGTTTGGGTGCACGCAGAAGCGCTCAAGTACGTGTGACTTGAGAGGCTTCGTTCGAATTTGTTGCATGCCATTTCTTGACACCCCCCCCCCCACCCCCCATTAACACACGATAACTTGTACAGATGTATTTGCCCACGTGTTTAAGGATGAAAAAAAAAACAGCCCCATATTTGACTCTCAGTTGGCGTGTTTATGTACCGGTGACAAAAGCGCGTTACATTCCAAGGACACATCGACAAATCATTGAAAACAAACCCAATAAACGGTGTATTTCTCGCAAAGTTTGTCATCACGTGTACCAACGCATATCACCGCTACATCGTATACAGAATCGATTTCAATGACAAATCAACAGGCAAACGGCCTCGCAGAGAGCCCATCAACCCCCTACATACGCGTATCCACTGAATGATACACACAAGCCACGGCCCATCATAATATTCATCAATCGCGGGCCATAGGCACACGTCTATTACAGCTATACTTATCCCTCCACATTGATCGACGCAGAAGCAAACACGTATACACGCGGTAGTCGCGCGTAATGTGCTCGGCACGCCCGTAATTATTAGGGCGCGACCCTCTCCCGTGGCCCTCCGTGACAACGCGCATAACTGCGCATTCGGGATTGAATTTATTTTGCATCCAGCCGAGTCAACAGTCGGAATATGGGAGTCACGGGGGGTGTAGGGGCTTTTCACGCTCCGCGCGTGGGCGACCGCGTCGTGGGAAACGCGCGAATTTAACGAGGGGGGGGGGGGTAGGGGTTGGCCGCGCCTATATGCACGGGCCCCGCGCCGGATATGGAAGATATTAGAGGCAGTGGTGAATAATTCAACGAAAATGCCGAAGCAGCTCTTGATTAACATGCACGCGCCCCTTCGTTTATGCACCTACATTGGGAGCTTGCGTGCGTGTGATTTGGATCGTGGCGGAGAGTGTGAATGAAGGGGCCGGGAAGTGCTGAGATTTTCGGCCCTCCACTTCCGCGATATTCGGGCGTGGGACGCTCCGGTGACGCTGTTGTGCGCACAAGAGACGATTGATAATATTGCCGGGTCGTAAATGGGCTGTGCGCTCACCTGCCTAGTTTCTCGTTTTAACCGTTGTACGTGCACGTTGCATTAATTATAAGGAGGGTGGGAACGGATTTTAAAAGCTTTTTTTTTCTTCTTTCTATTCATATTTTTCGCTCGTGTGAAAGGATAGGGAAATCAGAGGTATACGTGTGAAAATGGTGTGAATCATGGATGGAGCAGGTGGGATGTGGATATGCTTTTCATTTTGGTCATTTGAAAATACACGGCTTTGTAATGTTTGTATATAATATAGGGTGAGACGAGATGAGCTGGTTCGTGATTTTTGTAATGAAATAAGTATAATTCGACCCTCGTGTGCAAATTCAATTAGAAACAGGGAAAAAAAGGATATACTTTAATCTTTATTTGTTGTTGCAAAATAACAAAGGAGCTTACGACTGTAATGCAATTTGCTTCCATGTCAACTTGAAAAACAGAGGTTCCTCCGGTTATCCATTTTTGTTTATACTGTTTGCCATCGTACATAATATTTCAATATTGCACAACTGCTGGTCGCAATAGTCCAGACGGTAACGTAATACGCAACGTCAACTTGAGCTCGATTGATTGGTTTTAGACGCATAATCTAAAAAGATGTCATGTAATATATGACAAGGCACTGTCCAATAAAATTACGTACATAAGTGAATTGATACAGGCATACATGTGAAGTGAAACCATTTTTTTTTTTCCTATGGTGTCTAATGTTTTTGGGTTGGAAAAAAAAACTTTGAACAACAAAAATTCAAGCAGACTGTACGTACTTGTAAAAATAGAGATATCCTTGTTTAGTCAAAAAAAAAAAAAAAAAATGAGATTCCAAGTTATACGAGACACACAGAGAAACACGCAACACAGACCAACACCTCGACTAAGACCATTACTTCGGTATCAGGAAAGATCGAAAGCTCGGAAGCTCGTCGCGGCGCTCGACACCGTCACGTACTCGACCTAATGCCAATATCTAGGGCTTCGGCTCGCGTATAGCGCATCATCGACCAACTGCTGCTGCTTCGCTGTGAGACTCACCCCGAAACTGCTGTCTCCAGTTAACGCTCGGCACTGCTGGCAACTTCTTTGATTGCGTTTTTTTTAATTTTCTTTTATTTTCATCCATCTACTCAGGAAATTTGCACCCCAGAGTCAATAAATTTCTAGTGAGATAGTTAACACAAGTGGAGCAGGAGATTTTTGTAGTACTGTCGAAGAAACGGAAAAATTTGTTGATCCTTTTGTCGAAATAACTACGTAAGTGTGCACGAGAGTTTTTAATCGAAAAATAGTCCTGCTATGATTCATCGCTTATTTTTGAAGAAGAGATACCATCGTGTGACTAAAATCACACTGTCGTGACAGTGGACACTTTCGATTTAATTCTACCGGCAAAAATGTGCAACTCAGTAGTTGGGATCCAACTGTTCCTCCACAACTTCCCGTGCATTTTCGCGCTTGGCTACACTTTCACTCTGATGAGCATCTACATGGTCGTGGTGTTGTGATTTTTAAAAATCGAGGACTGAAAATCAGTGAAAAAAAAAAAAAAAAAANTGTAAACATTTCATTTCAAGTGCTTTACAATAAACTTTAAAATCTACAATATGAATGTTGTTATTTGTCAGAAAAAGTTTTTCTGAATATTTTATTGTGAATAGTGACAAAGAGAATGCTTTTTAATGAAAAAAAAAAAAAAAAAAAAAAAAAAAAAATAGTCAAAGAAGAATGAAAACCCATCCTTCGGTTGTAATGAACGATTTAAATTTTTCCCCCTGGCACGCAAACACGACGCCACTCCGTTGAATGGATATCCGATACCTGATGTTTTTCCTACTGCATGTGTCCTGTATGATCAGCCTCAACGTGATTCTGATATATTTTTACATTTACGTGCTGAACGAGCGCAAGAAGAACAACAGCCAGTCGTCCTCGTCTACTTGATCGAGCAAGGGAGACGCAGCCATGAAATTCGTCACTTTCGTCTTTGTAATGCTCGCGCCGCTCCTCAGTTTGATCATCCAAAAGATGTATCTGATCGAAGTCGATCCCATTGATTTTGTGTGCGAGCACCAGAAACAGATCAAAGGGGATCCCGACGGGCTCTTTGAATTCCTCACCACGTCGCTGGGAATGGAAAAGGTACGAGTAGCGCATCACTCAAGTGCCACTCACCTGATGAAACTTTGCACGACCGGTGGATCATTTAAAAAACATTCGTTTTTTTACCTGCCCAAACTACCCGCAAGGAGTTTGGATGTGTAGGTGTACGAAAAATACGCGTCCAACATTTTTCAATTTTCTACCAGAGTGCAACGTTTAGTTTCGTTCGGTAAGTGGCACAGTGTTATAATACATGGGGCAGTTAACGACATAGACATTACCTTGTAAAAATTATAAAAATTGTTCCAAAATCTGTGGTAGCTGTTAAAACTCAAGTAACAATGATGCGCTTTGTGCTCGGTAGAGAAAAGCTTTACGAAATATAATTATCACTCGAATGAAAAATGTCGATGATAATCGAAAGCTCGCCCGCGAAACACCGTTTTTCCCTTCAAAGAGCAAAACAAACAAACAAACCCTGCACGGTGTAAAAGCACACAAAAAATCCAGGGACGATTTGGCACGGGTAATTGGCCTTCTATCTACGCGCGTATGGGGCGAAATCGCCCATGTAGCCTATATCCATACCAGAGAGCTGTACGTGTCGAGGGTGTGATGGTCACTATTGGGTTATTTCAGCAGGAGCCGGGCTCCGGCAATTAGTCGCAAGGGATTTTCCGGATTTTCTCCGTAAAGCCTTTTTTTTCACGCTCCGTTAGAATGGAAACGGAAAATCGGGGAAATGGGCCCAAATGGAACCCATACAGCTTTTTGCTGTTGCAGGTTTATTTAAGGGCGAGAACTCATGCATACGTACATTTTAGATGGTGAAGCGAGCGCGTCGCGATTTCCATCGCGTGGGTCGACACGGCCATTTATATATTATTTGCTGCGACGCGGGCCCCCAACCCAGTTCCATCGGATGGATGGCAAAGGTACGCTTATGTTACTAAAAATCAATGCTGGTGAACAAAAGCAGAGACACGTATTTCAGACGTGTATAAATGGGTTGGTGGATTTATTTTCGTTTCAATCCGCGGGAGCAAATAAGTCCGGCGCGCAGCAACCGATGCAACGTAAATACAAGCCGAACCGGTGGAACCCGATGACTCTTTTGAAAGAGATGATGAAAAAAAAAAGCGCAACGAACGTGAGAAAAGTACCGAGTCCAAGCTCCCCCGAGAAAGTAGCATCACCCGAGCGAGGACAGGACAACCGGCCTGTCTTTGCATCCCCCAGAGGATCAGGTCAGCTGCTCTAACGGGCCTCCGTACCATCCCCCCCCCCCCCCCCGAGAAGGAGAGAAATCGCAGAGAGAAGTTTCGCGCATGCAAATGGGATCCGGGGAGGAGGAGGGTTGATGGACCGGGTAAGTAAGTCGAGCGGAAGATATCCGGCCGTTCGAGGGAATCCCTCGCTTGACCGCGCGAGCCTTTGAGCCGAAGCTGTGGGAAGGTGCGTTAACGGGATGGGTTGTGCAACAACGCTCGCGTTTTTTCCTTCAAAGGAGCTCCGTCAATGTAGGGATTTTTCACTTTGCAATGAAAAATCCAATTTCGCGGGATGACTGAAATATCTCGCGCTCCACTGGTGTACGTATATATATATATATACACACCAACTCGCTCGCGCGCTTTTAACTATACAACTCAAATTGAACGCGCGTCGACAACTCATCAACCGAATGCCTATCGCGTTCCCGGCGCTTGTCGATTCGCGCGACGACGTGTATACATACCAAATAAAATTTTACACATTTTCCCGTCCCTCTTCCCAACGGTATTTCCAGCTCGTCGATCCTGCGAGATCCCCTACGTAATTACTCTCGGTGCGACACGACGACGGAATAATAATACATTACACGTGTGCTCACGCGCGCAGATGCACTTGATGCAAATCATGCTCCACTTGGAGGAGAGAGACTCCTGTATTTTCCTGAATCCACCGGTGATGACGTAAATGTACCTTCCTCGCGAAATATGTCACGAAATCACGTAAACGTAATAAAATCTTTCATTTTCATTCAACGCGCTGCACGAGCTTCAGACTCGTTGATCGGCTGTATCGGCAGCTCTACCGAGCCAAACAATTGTTTTCACCTATGTCTTCGTATGGGTCAATTTCTCTCTCTCTCTCTTTCATTCGATTTGCGGGTGAAATACTTGAAGCAGCATGTAAATCCCCGAGTCGCAGCCAACTGTAAATAACCCAATCAATCCACAGCCAATCGGTGATCCTCGAAAATGCAATACCGCACTTCTCGAACTCCGACGTCCCCGCATACATATACGTATAGACCGCAACCGAAGCGCGATTCTCGAGTGCTCGCTCCTCCCCGGGCATGAAAACGAAATCAGTCCGCCCGTGCGCCCCCCTATAAGTATATAGACCCCAGAGCCGCGCGGCAGTAATCCTACGGGTGGCGACGGCTGGCTCGATCTCCTTTGAAAGTCAGGATCACCGCGTGCGAGAGTTTCCGTCTCTGGCGAGACAATGCGGATGAGCAGCCACTGTAAACGGCGAGGCCTACAACGACCGGGGTAACGAGCTTGTACTGTAGCCGCGGTAAATATCCCCGTTGACGATGATTCGGGACGGGACCTCGAGAGAGAGAGAGAGAGAGTGACGATTGGATATTCCCAAGGGCAGTTCTGACCCACGTATTCTTATTTACAGTTGCTGCCTTGGTTGTCGAGGTTCAAGGAAGCAGACACGCGACTCGTGGGTCTTGGCAAGTCGTACCGGGCAACGCTGAACACCCCCATTTTGGGTGAGTCCGTTAAGTTTAAAACTTGGTTGATTGAAAGCACATCGCGAATGGGTCGATCAACGGTTGTATCGGCACCTACAGGGGAGGAGCGAGTTTACGCCACGCTGACGGAGTACAAGCCGCGGAAACGGCTCGCCCTTGAGTTCGACGACCTCATGAGACGGAGCGTGGTCATTCGGTTGCGCAGCTACCACGATCGCACCCTCCTCCAGGCCAGCGTTTACTTTCGCCGGACCTCGTTCCTCTATCAGGTAAATTCTCCATGTATGGCCTCTAATCCGGCGCACAAAGAGAGTACATACTCTGTCGCGAAGGGAAAAAAAAAGTATCACGATATCTCGTACAGCTGGAGAAAAAAAAAAAAAAGGGAGATCAGTCGTGTCGCGTACAAAGCTTGGGTATACCCGTGGTGCCACCGTATATACATAACGTTTGGATTCATCGAGGATCGAGAACGCGAGACAGACACACGTGTGCGCGAGGGGATTCCCCTGATTCTTTAGGCGCGCGGAAAGACCGTGCATCCCCATAGTTTTCTTCCGTATGTGGCCCATATACTCACCCTGCGTACGTGCCGAACAAAGAGTCGCGTGTGCACGGAGACGAAAATCGCTCGCTTGCATAATCCTCCTCGCGAGGATACAACGCGCGCACCTGGATTTCTTTCTCTCCCCTCGATGTACTTTTCTTTCTTTCTTTCTTTTTTTTTTTTTTTTTTTTTTCCTTCTCCTTATTGCTTCCTTTGGAGAGAAAGAAAGAAAGGAAGGAAGGAAGGAAGTACAGTATAGGTACGCGCACGAGGGACAGCCAAGAATAGATTTCCTCCCCCTTGAGTAGTATAGGGGTGGCCGCGCGATTGCACTTGTGAGTACGTACATACACGAGACTCGACTCGCGTATATTATATATTACGGGATGCGGAGAAAAATAGGGGGAGGCCATACATATAGGAAAAAAAAAGTACGCGGGTATTGGGTTATTTGCTCTATTGGCGGAGCGCATTTGATCTTTTATCATCGTGTACGTGGACCGGATATTGCCTTTTCATGTGTAAGTATTATACATCGGTTTTATACAGCAGTTTATTGCTAAATCTTGAGTAATTTTAGGTACAAGGATGGATCTCTCGTGCTCTTCCGGATCATTTTCAATTTCATTGTTTAAGCATACTATACTTGTAAGATATATGAATAGCGTTTTTTAAATTTTTTTATCAGTTGAAAGGAAAATTCATACTTTGGACGATGACGCGCTGCGAAGATTAATTATGATTCGCGACGCGTGCCTCCACGAAAACTGCACCAAATTTTAAATATCCAATTGATTTCACGCTTCACCGATGACCGGATTAAAACACATTAACCGGAGTTATCGCTGAAAATTCAAAGTCACGATTCGTAATCGTGCTTTTCCATAAAATTTTGATAAATTATTCAGCCAACCGGACACGCGCGGGCTTCTCGAGAGTTCCGTGTCGATCACCACAATTTATTAAGCTCTTCTGCACGACAGGGCACGTTTATATATTCAATGTATACCCGGTATTTTACAACGCCAGCTGTGTGCATGACACATTTAGGTACTCGATGAATGACCTCTTTGTGCGTATTGATCTATATACTTACCCTGCACTCTACAAGGTACACATATACCATGCACGTACAAACAGCTCGGTCGACTTTGTCTCGAGTGTTTTTCACATTTTTTTTTTTAATTCATCCCTCAGTCTTTATTCATCATTTTTGTTTGAGGCAGCAGCTTTTCTTTTACAATAGTGATATTATGATGGATGTTTTGTCGAATCAATTGGCGTTAATTGACAAAACATTTTTTTGTTCTCAGTATACCGTTGGATACATAATGAGGATGGTGATGAAAAGTCAATTGGAAAAATCAATGAAGAATTTTGCGATACTACACGCAAATCTCGACGGGCCCAACCAGATTCCTAATTTTTCCAAGAGTCGCGTTCAACGCGTGTGAATTAACAAACGATAAATCAACACAATAATCGTAGCGAAGATTAAGATCCACAACACTACTGCATTCGAGTTGTTAACCATTCAAAGTTATAAATGTACCTACCTGTTGTATCAAGATAACTCTGTATCATGAGGTCTCGTGAAACAATTATAAATAATAATAAATTGAGAAAATTTTATCTTGTTAATGCAGATCTCTTTATTATCGAGGTATACGCTTGATACACTTTTAACGGTACTCTCTCACTTAGTGAAGATGGCGATACTTGGTACATCAACAGCCCGCAAGAACTCTCTTTTAATTCAGATTAAATGAACGATTAGTATTACATCACTTTTTTTCGTGATAACCATGGTTTTCATAATTTTAAATTCAATGAGTACAACTTCTTCTTCTTCTTCACTGAGAAAAAAACGATTTACTTGAAACGGTGTTTTAATATAATTAAATTGTAAAAGTAAAATAAATGTAGATAATTTATTACTATAAAAAAAACTTATTTTCACCCTGAATATTATTCAATGGGAATGAAAATAGTCAAAAGCACCACTAAATCTCTTAAATAAATCTAAGATACGTTTGAAACAAAACTAATGGTTTTCATGATTATTAAAAAACAACGTATTCGAAGCGTTTTACGCCCGCAAGTACCTGTGCGATCCATGACTCTGAAATACAAATGCAACCGATCAATCGTTTTAAAAAACCGAAACCCAAAAAAAAGAAAAATCGACTATTTTTCAATCACGAACAATTTATTCACATTCATAGACCCATAGTTCGGCACCGTACGGTCCATTCAACGGAACAGTGCATCGAAACCCCGCGTAATAACTCAAGCATATTTTTTCCCCCAAACAAATAGTACCGATCGGCAAAAAGATCGGCACGCTAGAAATTCAATTTCGCTGTCCGCGCGTACGCGCAAAACCTTTGGCTGGCAATTGTGCCATTCTAGTGATAGCCGAGGGAGGAAGGCGGGGCGGAGGGGGGGCTGGATTTCTGTCAGTGGCATTGATTGATATCGTTCGGAGGCAAAGTTAATTCCTCTGGATATTTGCGATTCCCGAGCTCGCCGCGGGCTGCGTTCATATATATATACACAGCACCGAAAAGGATCCGCTCGTGTATACCTATATACGTGTGCGAATAAACAGCCAAACGCTATTCTCAAACACTATGGGCGAGCAGCTGCACTGCAAGCTCCGACCGTTCCGTCTTTCGCTACGCAGCTCTTCGAAAATTATTGACGAGCGACTTCGGAAATCGGTATCCTCTCTTTCTCTTGTTATTTGTATTAAAAAACTTGAAATTAGTGTGCAGGTATGTTTTTCCCTTCCATCCCTCCGAACCCAATCAATCGCTTTGAGATACGTGCGGATTGTGTTGTGCGCGGTATGAAAAAGGGTTCCTAAAACAGAGGGGCGACAAGTTCAAAGCTGCAGGTGATTTAATTTCTTCGGAGTATTTCACTGGGTTTGCGTTCACCGGGTACACATATGCATATTTTCACGCGGATGAATAGTTTGCCGAATAGCAATTTCATCTCGCGTGTTTTTGACGCTTTTCGACATTCTCCCGTCAAACACGTACACATAAATATATAGATGGAATTGATGCGGACGGTAGGGATGAGCGAAATTTATGGAACAAAGGCGTCGCGTTTTACACGCTTGCGTTGGGGTAGCTTGAAAACAAAAACATAATATTTCGACGAGCGAAGTAACCGGTGCTGACGACCGTGGATGTTTCCGACTGTACGTGTGGATATGCATTTTTCATGCTTTTTAACGAAATGAAGGGGCTTCGGGCGTTAAACAAGTACAGCGCTCTTATGTACTCGAGAAAAAAATAAACGGGGAAAAAAAATACTTTCACGATTAAACCGAAAGCTCGATGAATTACCGGAATAATCGCGATGAACGTATCGTCTCCCCTTTGAAGAAAAAAATTACCAAAATCCCCGAAACATAAATAACTCGTTGCCCCTTCCCTCCTCCATTGCATCGTCGCATTAACCCGAAAAACAGAGAGAGAGAGAGAGAAAGTGTGTGTGGGTGGAGTAAAACTGAAAATCGGCGCGCCACCGACAAAGGGTGAAACGAATGGGCTCCTGCAGGCCACGCTGACACTCGCGTTTATATAATCCAGCACTTTGTCTCTCTCACCCCTACATATACCTAATGGCCATATTCCCCAGCTGAAATGGTCGCATCCTCCTCCTCTTTAACACGTGCTTTGCGTGTATCTATGTACACGTATAATTCGAGCTGCATTCGTTCGTGTACATCATACGATGCACTCGTACGGCTGGCGTGCCATTAGTCGAGATAATTAAAATTATACCAGCCGCACTCCATATTGCCACGACGAACTCTGTCTCGCGGGCACGGTGGTTAATTTTACAACGGACGTTCTAATTACGTGGAAATTAAATTGCAAGCTCTCTCTTCTCCCCAGCGCAGGGTACAACATCCCTTCTCGTTTCTGTTTACTTGCGCTCCGGCACTCTGCAGATATCGCTGGGTTCTTTAATGCCTGTTTTAGGTTCGGCTGACTCGCGGCACGTGTCATAACGCAAAATCAGTCATGTGCGGCCGGACTTGGGCACAATTGTGCTTTTTCGATAGTTTTCAAATATAATTTTTGAACTTTGTAATGTACTTTATTTAATATTTTTTTACAATAGAGTAACAAAGCGACAAACAATTTTGCAGCAAAAACATATAGTAAATGGTGAAATTTAGGAAGAAAAAAGAATCGATGTACTTTGAAAAAGTATGTAAACATTTCATTTCAAGTGCTTTACAATAAACTTTAAAATCTACAATATGAATGTTGTTATTTGTCAGAAAAAGTTTTTCTGAATATTTTATTGTGAATAGTGACAAAGAGAATGCTTTTTAATGAAAAAAAAAAAAAAAAAAATCCCTCGTAAAATGTTTGAAAACTCATTTAAAAATTGTGCACAAGTCTGTCTTTATATGCAACGAAGTTATCTCTCTTTTGCATTAACACGCGAGCACGTGTGAATGTACACATCTGGAAAGAAAATATAAAAAAATAATGCCTGTACTCAGCACCAAAAATTTGAATGCTTCAGCTAATTAAAATATCTCTACAGACAAATTTTTTTCTTTCCACAAAAAGAAATATAACTCATACTCGATTCATAGTCGAAAGTATGAATACGTGACACCTGACAACAATACTTGCGCTGGAGCTACAATAATGTACTTACTAATTAAAAATACAATGAGATGCATTGATTTGTATGTGATTATTCAACATCAAAACCAGACGATACACCTAAATGTGTTTCAAATATTTCATCATCAGAATAATATTAATATATTGCAAAACGTGTTTTGCGACTCATTAAATTTAATTAGACATCCGAACAATGTTCCACTCAAACTCACCCGATCGTTTTTAATGTGCGTTAATTATGAACGCATATTCTCTTTATCTACCTATATGATGTTGTACGACAGAAATTGCGATGATGATGCATAATAATGATTACGCCTCTGGTGGCATGGACAGTTGAAGGAAAAGCTAATGGAGCTTTCAACGAAAACCACGCGAATGTTCCTGCTTTATTCGGTACAATTTGCACAAATTACGTTCCAAAATCGCCATTTATTCACTATACGGAAATTTTTTTCATTTTTACAGTTTTAAATACGTTGGATGAAAAAAAAAGAAAAGAAAAAAAAAATCACGCATTCAATTGTAATGAAAGAAAATAATATAAATTAATTTTTTTTCAAACTTCATTCTATTTAATAAATAACAGTATTGAAAGCGAACGAAACAAAAAAAAAAAAAAAAAAAAAAATCAACATGTAGGTCAAGCTTATACTTCATGGAGGCGATGCGAAGCCAAGCCGAGCAGCTGGGAGTGTGGCAGCTCCTGTAATCCGGCGACTCGGAGGCTGGTTGTGGTGGAGGGTCTGAGGTCGGGGGTCACTACTGGTGCAGGCTCCACGCTGACAGGGCGTCCGCACTAAGCTCGCCATCATTATGGGCGCCTCGGAGTAATTCCGGGGTCATTAGGGCCAGAGGGGTAATCCCTAGCAGCCAAAAGTCCGCCGTGGCGGGCAGTAGTGGGATCGCGCCGGGGAGTGGTGGGACCACATTGGTAGCCTGACCAATATTATTCGACCCATAACTTTTGCTACTTTTTTACTATTTTTCCCGTGATCCTTCATTTTTTTCGTTATTTTTCACACCAAGAACATAATTTTTTTTCCATTTTTTTTGCATATTTTCCTATTTTGCATATTTTTTTCAGGTACACGTAGGTAGTTTGGTTACCGACGCCAACCCTGCAGTGGGCAAGGTAGAGAGTCAATACACGATACGAAGGCGGACCGGCAAGTGCGAGATTGAAAATTTTTTTTCAACACCTTATTAGTATACTTTTATACAAAACCACACGCGATAAAGTTGCGGTAAACATACACTCGTACTTTTAAAATAAAAAAAAATAAAAAATTTTATGTATTAACTGTCACTTGAAAGTATAGTCATTCCAAGAACGAGTTCATCACAAAAGCTAAACATATAATGTAAGTATACTATTTGCTCAGAAAAATACTAGCCGTAAAGACAAGTAACAAAAAATCTACCGGATTCAACTTCTGAAACTCTAATGTCTCTATTGAAATCGCACAAACTCTTATCTGTAAAGTTTGTGGGCCGAAATTGCAAAGTCGTGCATCACGCTTATACGTATTCAAAAATAAGTTACATTATCACACGTATACTTGCAAAATGTTCATAGCAAGAAAGTATACTTTCTCAAGTCATGAGCGAAAGGATCGAGTCGCTAATTCGCCAACAGAGATCGGCTGCTCCGCGAATTGAGATTAATTGAAGATTAACTTGCAGCAAAGTCGGTGGCATTAAAATCATAATACCCTGTCCTGACGTCTCTATCCGAGTAAAATTTGCGTCCAGTGCAACCTCGATCCCCACAAATATTTTGCTTCAAAGCTCCATACGGATTACAATGAAGTATCATCAGCGCGCTACTCTCATCGCAAATTGATGTTATATAATATATATACGAGCAAACACGTATTCTCATAAAGTAAAAGAAATGAGCACATTCCTACCCTCACTAGCTGCACGTGTATGTATACAATACTAATTTTTTCTCTCGCTCGAAGCACTTTCAAT